GGGTGGTTTTCCATTACACTTCAGTAACAGCTCTGGTGGGTGGGTTCATCGTAAAGTTGGGCAGTGCCAGACTCTCAAAAATTGACTCCACACCCTTTACAAGCTGGTGGTGGTTATGCTCCATAATCTATTTGTCAGCCACCATTTAACATTTTAGAAGAAGAACCAGAAAAGATATATGCAACACAACAATGGAGGATGTGGTAGTGTTGATATTGCAAATGGCAGCTCAGGTTGTTGTGAGAGTAGCTCTTGTGACGCAACTAGTGACTCCACCCCAACCAATCACTGACCAATCACTGACAGTCCTCTGATGTGCGTTTTCAGGCCAGCACGGACTTGGAACCACAGCAAAGTACATTCTGAAATAAAGGCTGGTTCGATGAATCCTTGCTAGTGGACAAGCCTTGGAACCATGGAGAGCAACGTTAAACTGTGCTGTAGATGTGCAAGTGGAAAACACACCTTATCAGTTRTAGAGCATGGAATTTGTAAAAGGAAGASTTTGTCCRGTCTMTAGTGCCAGTTTATTGTTTTTCAKGKCCATGTATCAGTCCACCWGATCAGCAAGTCTAGTCAGTGTAAAAGTTTAACTTTTTGCAGACTGGTATATTCACATCTTCAGCACCATTGGCCTATAGAYAGTCCATTCATGCTCAACACACATATACTCAGTAACACAGACATTGATTGGTTAAGAAAACAACATTAAGCTAAACATTTCTTTCAAAGGTGTAGAGGTGTTCTTTCACAGCAGTATCTTTGAGAGAGTTGTAAAAACAGCACAAACTTGGCTGCCRTTAGCCTAGCTTGTACAAAAATGTGTGCCTTTCTCCAGACTCCATGCTCAGTGTTAGGATGATCTCACAGTTGATATGACAAGAGATCACTTCAAAATTCACCAGTGTAATACTTAAAACTCTCTCTAGTGTCCTGTGCCAGGAAGTAACACCAACCAAGTCGAGTACAGATAGAAGAATATGTGGTTTGTTTGTTTTGTATTTTATGATGGCTGCAAGAAGAGGGGTCCAGTAATATAAAAGAGTTTARATCTGAATTGATGAAAGACATCATGAGCCAGCTGTTTATCATGTCAGTTAAATGYGGGGGCCTTTGTGTAATAAGCACAAACTTTTTGGCTTGTGGAATGAAGTTGTCTTAGCCATTCTGCCTCGGCACGATTCGCTTTGTTTGGCCTGGATCCAGGGCTAATTTACAGCCCAGTGCTCTCCTTGTCATTCTTGTCGGTTTCACTCTCGCCACGGTGCTTTCTCTTGTCTCTTTYGGCGAGATTGTCAGGTCTTTAGGGTTTTAAGGCGCTTAGCTTTCCATGTTCCTTCCTCCTGTCTCCCGCCCTCATAGTCTGACTGGCAGTAATTATATCAGAGTTGGGTCCTGGTTGATCCCAACGACCTCGTAGACTTAACAACAAGAAGGAGGCAGAGAGAGAGAGTGTGAGAAGGGAAGAAAAAAAGATGCTAGATAAAAAAAAAAGTGGCAACAAACAGAAATGAGAAAAGCAGCAGTGAACCACAAGGTTGCAGAGAGAAACAGCAATAAAGCGAGGCAGTAAAGGTTACACATCACTGACTCTTGACAGGCTTTTCTCCTTTTTTCCTTTTCCTTCATCTTGTTCCTTTCTTCCATCATGGCTGTGTGAACTCTGTATTCATCAATGTTCACTTGAGCAGCCTTCTGGGCTGAGAAGTGTTTTCTCTTCACTTTTCTCTTCTGCAACAAGGTGTTTTCCACAAACCAAGGCTGTCATACCGCAGGTTTTATTGGTCTCTTGTGTAACAATACAACAGGTTAGTTTTCCCTCGATAATTGTACTGACAAGATCTACTTGTTACAGTTGTTTTCTCCTTTTCTGTTTGGTTAACATACGTCTTGCAACAATAATCCTTCACTTCTAAGAACAAAAAGCAATTTAATCATAGGTTTTATTTTATTAAGTAAGAAATAAATGTTTAAATSTAAGATTTTGGTGTAAAACTTTTATTATGAAAGTTGTGATTTCTATCCCCGGCTTTCAGATTTTTTTTCTTTTCACCGTGATGCGCCGCAATGATGAAAAGAGCTGAACCGTCTCCATCTTCTGAATGGTTTAAAATTTGGACTGCATGCTTGTCAAGTGAGAAAGAAAGAAATTAAGAAGCCACAAAATGAAGATGAAATGAGGCTCTTTTCCCCGTGAAGCATGCTCTGACATTGTTCTCATACAAAGAGATCTCTCGCTTTTTTCCCCTGTTCATATCAGAAAGAAATGAAGACAACATTTATTATGCCTTGTTCCACTTTTAGGTCTATAATCAGCAAATCTGTCTTTGTCTCAATAACGGCTTTTAAAAAGAGCAGTCAGGATTTTAAAGGGAAGTTTAATTAACTTAGAAAATTGGAGACTGCTTTAAATGCACTCCAACCCTGCAGTTACTAACAGATCAAAAAAGAAGATGAGTTTTCTGAACTCTTACATGAATCAGATATGGAACATTTTAGCATATTGTATCAGACATTATTTGTTTCTATCCCCCCAACTACATGGCATCTAAAATATAGGAGCCCTATGAAACAAAAAACTGATTTACTGAATTTCAGCTCCCTCTGACTCGACAAGGTTTCTGTTAACCACTTCTGGCTTTCTTGCTGATGCAGTCAGGCATGAAATTAAATGGCAAGTCATGTTAAGTGTTCTTACTATGCATTATTTTGTCATTTTCTGCCATTTTCACATGTAGTTTAATGGTATAAATAGACCTGCAATAACACTGAAAATATTGTTGGAGTGCTACACTGTATAATATTAGCCTGTCCAGTTTTAAAAGTATCTTATCATCAGTCAGGCTAACAGTGAGCTTCTGTGTTGCACCTGAATCTCTGTTTCCTGTCTCCTATTCTTGAGGGAGTGGGTAATAATGGGAATTTAGGTATCAATTCTTTGCCAAGTAAATACAGGTTTAGTATAACAAATACTGATACTTTTAACATGATGTGTTATGTTTATTGTATAATTTTGTGATTTTGCCTTTAGTTAGTTGAATATGATAAAACAGATTTTAGGCAAATATAAATGTTTTTTCTTTTATTATTAAGTAACCCTAATAATATAAAACAATGTAATAGTGCTAAAAAATCCTCTATTACCTTCAACTTATGGGGCGCCAAGTGTAAAATAAAATGTAAAAAAAATGTCACAAACACATTTTCATCATTTAGCTCACTTTCTAGGCATAAAATGCTAGTACAAAATTACCACTAACATTTTATTATTTAGCTCACTCTGTACATTTTGCTAGGTTTAATAAGATGTGCAATTTAAACAGAGGTCTATAACTAAGTAAAGTAAAATTACATGAACACAAAATGACTTTGGTAAAAATAAATTTCACTGATGAGAAAACTACTCAAGTAAAAGTTATAAAACTGTTCAGCAAAATTGGGAAAGTAAAAGTACTTTTACACACTCTCTAAGAAATAAACTGTTAAATTT